ATCAAGGTACTCAGTACAAAACTTGTTATAGAATTTAAATATAGTCCAGCAGTGCAAAGAGGAATTTTATACTTTTTAATGTACTGATACTAATTGACATCCCAAATTCATTATTAGTTTTTAAAATAAAATGCAAGATAGCATATATTTCCACATTTGTGGGGGAAAGTGGTGATGCTGGAGGGTATGTTTGTATAGTCTTGGTGCATAGACTATTTCTTGAATTGGTGCAAGAAACCTTCTGGAAACACTTGCCTTCTGGTTTTTGTTTTTGTTTTTTTTTTTTGTTTTTGTTTTTGTGGAACCAGGGATTGAACTCAGGCCCTTGTGCTTGCCAGGCAAGTGCTTATTCTACTGAACCATCTCCCCGGCCCCCACATTTGCCTTACTGAAGGAGCACCTGGTGGGTGGCTGGGGGAAGAGATGAACAATTTCACTGAAGTACACTTTGTATCTTTTGAAACATGTAAATATATATTATCCACTCTGAAAAAGATAATTTAAAAGAGCTCATAAAATCTTAGCCTCACTGTCTCATTCGGACAAAGCTTTTCATATTTGGTCATGGCATTTTGCCAAAACTTTTGTTGTATCATTTTTTCTGGATTTATAATTGCAAGACATTAGGGCATAGATTTAAGTGTTGTAAAGTGTGTAGTTTTGGTTCTAGGCTGACAGCTAGCTCCACAACTGCCAGTCTGTAGGAATAGGCAGACTGCTTTACTTTCACAAATTGGGGGCAGGGACACCCCTCATAGGGATCTTTGTGAGAATTATATCAGATAAAATCCATAGCAGGTTTCTCATAGAGACTCAGTGCCAACATGTGGAGGCTATTACTATTGTTAAGTTTAATTCTGCGTTAATTTTTGCTCTGCTGTGCTGAATATGAACAAGCAAAAAGCTTTGGGTTTCAATCACACACAGAATGCTTTGGTCAATTCCCCATCTTTCAGGACTCTGGTACATATGAGTGTAGTCTACAGATGAGAACTGAGGGAGAAATATAGATGACTGTATTACTTATCTGTTGCTGAATAATAAAGGACTCAAAAGTTAAGTAACACCAAGGAAATATCAAGAAACTGAGTGTGACATAGCTATGTGGTTCTAGCTCAAGATCTCACGTGAAGTTGTGGTGAAGCTGTCAGTTGGGCCTGTAGCCTCCAAAGGCTTAGCTGGAGACTGAGGATACATTTCCAAAATGGCTTGCTCTCTAGGCTGTTAGCAGGAGTCCTCACTTTCTCACCATGTGAGTTTTCCTTAGGGCTGTTTGGTTGCCTTTACAAAATGAAAGTTGGTTTTCTCCAGAGTAAATGATCCAA